GTGTAGTCTTTCTTCGTGCGTTGGTTTGGTGCTTATTAAACTGGTCTCCTCTAGCTCCTCGCTCTCGAGCGACTATCCATTTCGCCGGGGGCGCCTTGATCAAAGGCTAGGTTTACTTGTAACTATGCAGTGTATCCAATCAGAGTAAACGGTCATATATCGATCCGAGGTAAGGTGTGGCTGATGTTTGCTACTTCCAAATAAGATAGACCTTTATAACACATCAATCAATTAGACGACCGCGAATATATACCGATGGAAGGTGAGATATCAGAGCTATAGGTTCACACGATAAAGGAGGGTTTACTTTGATTCATCTCTAATTTTGAAAGTGAAAAGGCAAAACCTCGAGCTACAGCAGAGATCGACGCACTATCTACAGCCGTCTTCACAGTAAAGCTTGTATTTAAAAAAGCAGCAAAGGAATGACAGGGAAAACACAACGATTCACAAGAGCGTTGGGATTGAAAGTTCACCGTGGTAAAATGCCACTGGCCCAAAACGAGCACCCGTACTCCGAAGCGCAGCCCGCCACGTGTCTCACAAAGCCTTCTAGAGAGCTGGTAGTATAATGGTCTACCACTTCAGCAGGATAAAATCCATTAACCCCAAGGACAGGGCAAGTGACATGCGCAACCATTAGGTGTCTTCAGTACATGGGACCACACAGGAGGATCCTGTATCTAGTCACATACCCATTATGGCATGTCTTTCTACATGGGGCCACAGAGTGATGGTCCAGTATCTAGTCACACACCCATCTGGGTGCAGTGCCCCAATTCAAGGGAAATTCTCCTCCAGGTCGAGGCGCACAGAAAGTACCCCCAGAGAATGTTTCGAAAAGAGGGGTCTGTTTGGGCCAAAAAATGGTGGGATTGTGTCAGTATGGCCCAGGATCATCTCTGTAGATTCTGGGGCACCCATCTGGGGGCAAAGCAGACAAAAATAGAATTGAAAATTAGTCAGAAAAGCCCGAGGAAGGTGAGGGATGTTATTTGAAAAATGGCCGCTGGGAAGGCTTGGAAACATTCAGGACCAAACAACACATTGTTTTTTGTTTGAGAGGCCTCAGGGACTTCAGTTGCCTGACATGGGGCTCCAAACTTGGTTGATTTTACACAATTTTCAATGGAGCTTGAATTGGTTCGGTGCACCCATCTGTTATTGGCTATCTTTCTACATGGGTCCACACAGTGATGGTCCTGTATCTAGTCACAGACACATCTGTTATTGGCATGTCTTTCTACATAGGTCCACACAGTGATGGTCCTGTATCTAGTCACAGACACATCTGTTATTGGCATATCTTTCTACATAGGTCCACACAGTGATGGTCCTGTATCTAGTCACAGACACATCTGTTATTGGCACATCTTTCTACATAGGTCTACACAGTGATGGTCCTGTATCTAGTCACACACCTATCTGTTGTTGGCATGTCTTTCTACACAGGTCCACACAGTGATGGTCCTGTATCTAGTCACACACCATCTATTATTGGCATATCTTTCTACATAGGTCTACACAGTGATGGTCCTGTATCTAGTCACACCAGACTGTTATTGGCATATCTTTTTACGTAGGTCCACACAAAGATGGTCCTGTGTCTAGCCACAGACCCATCTGTTGTTGGCATGTCTTTTCACATGATACCCAGTACGATATGTGGGAAAGAGGGACCCCCTAATGTGATGCAGAAGCTGTATTATACCAAGCAAGAAATGAGACCGAGGGGTACCCCCCAACATGTCCAATCCCTATACACATTCCAAACTATTGTTACTTAACACATCCCCCCAAGATGTCTGAAAGGAATTCCCCAGATTCCTGCGACACAATGACCAACACAAAGCACGGGGGGGGGGTTCTCTCCGTCTCATACCTTGCTGCATATGAGCTGTATACCCTAAGGCTATTGTGCCTACTGCACCCTCCTGGGAAATATGTTAGGAATTCCTAAGATTCCATCAATACAAAAGAAGACAAAATAGAGGGGGTCCCCCTTTGCCACATATCTTGCATCATATGTTCTACATGGGTCCACACAGTGATGGTCCTGTATCTATTTACACACCGGTATGTTATTTTTTTCGTGTGTTTCTGTCGAGTACGAGAACCTCTTCGGTTACTATCGCTGTAGCCACCTTGAATTTAAATTAAAGCCACAAAAGTGGTTAATGGATAAAAATCAAGCATGCAGCTGTTGAATACATGCATTTAAGTCACATTGAAGCATTTAAATTTTTTCGTGATCGGTCAAGATAATGTTCAACATTTGAAAAACACTGCTTGGGCTTTTTTTGGGCATACCGCCAACCATGTCTTCCTATTTGGCAATTTTCTTTTAACCTATAATGTCTGCGTCATCCGTTGAGAAAGGGAACGATGCCGGAACACGCCAAAAACTGTGTTGTTAGTTTAACACCCTGAGTGTTGTCAGATCCTACACCAGCCTGACAAGGTCATGTTATAACGCCCAAGGTGTTATAGTGGCACCCAAGGTGTTACATTAACACCAGTTAGACACTACAGTTTCGTTAGCAGTGAATGTCGCTCTCTGATTAGTAAGAGACTCTTTAAAGGTTTGCATGGCGAGGCTCAGAGTGAGATTTGTCATCTCATAATACCCAGGGTGTTAGAGCAACACCCTGGGTATTACATTAACACCAATTTGACACCACGGTTTCTTACCAGTGAATGTCACTCTTTGGGCAAGTAAGAGTCCCTTTAATGGTTTGCATGTCGAGGCACAGAGTGAGGTTTGAAGTCTCTTCGAAAAGCCATCCGTTCCTTCATTATTCATGAACTAATTACAAGAAAGGTGTTTCCTAGAATGACCCGAGGGACGTCTTGGTTTTTTCTCCCTCCTCTTAATGATTTGGCCCAGGAAATCAAACAAAAACAATGTGCTTGCGGATTGGTCAGTCATTACAGATCACAGTGGTGTACATATAACTCTAGGGCATTTAAATGGTGCGCTTGAAAATAATAAAATCTCCAACGCAAAATATTGAAAATCAAAGGCAATGACTTGAGGCTTCATCGGTGAAAGAAAGTCCCTTTCTGTCGATTTATTAATCTTTACAGTCATGATGGAGGTGGTCGCACAAAAAACACAATATGTAAATTACATTTATTCAAAAACAAAAATATAAGCTGACGATGAGAAGCACTATTCAAATTTATTCCATCTTGACAGACTGAATGTGGGATTTCAGGCTGGTTTTATTTAAGTCTAACAAGTCTCCAGAACTTCAAATGACAAATACCACACCGTGGCCTTCAGTTTAACAAAAATTGCATCAACATCTAAAATAATAAAAACATTCTACAAACTGTTTTGATTCAAGTTACTTTAAATGAAAAGCTTAAATTGACAATGCCTGACATTTCGATCCTGGCAGAGTCTTTTCTAAGGTAGGCACTGAAAACGACTTTTACAAAATCGAATCATCGGGCCCTCTATCTTTGAGGGAAAATAAAGCAAGGCTGACATCCAAGACAGTTGAGTTGCTTAAACGCAGAAATATCTTGGTTGCAACGTTGAAAATTTCACAGTTACACAATAAAAAGGAAATAAACCTTACGCACAATCACTACTGTTTGCAAAGAAAACATGTATGAAACAATTGTTTACAACTTAATTTTCGTCCCCACAGATTGAAATTCCGTCAGAAATACAGTCGCGCACAGAAGAGGATGAAGGAAAAGATACTAACGAGGCGCAGTTACCTTGAACGCGAGCAGAAATGTTTTGTCAATTAACACGCACCTCGCTAACTTGGGAGACGAAAAATAAAGACTTGAAAAGTGCACTGGCTCTAAGCTCCTTAAAGAAGCTAAAACCTCTTGGTAAATTTATAATACGAGTATACAGGGGCTTTGTGTGGTAGCCATCTTGCGGGGCAGTTCTTTTGTTCCACTGGAAACCTCCTTTGTGCATACCCTGTGGAACAAAAGTACTGGCCTACAAGATGGCAGCCATGCAAACTTCTACACCACGTGAATACACTAGAAAGCTTGAAAAGGCAGACTATGTGCTGTGACGTCGACAGAGCTTCTGTGAAACGTCGGTCATGCTGTAGCTTAATTCATCAGAACCATCAAATACTTCTTGTACAACAAACATACACATGTGAAAAGCTCACGTATTAAGGGTTTATCCTGACTTCACGGTGTCACGGGTCACTCATGACGGCGTCGTGATTAGAAATCGTGGGTGACTTAAAAACTTAAACCTACAGTTCATTTAGAAGCATTTGAAACATCAGCTGCTCAACAGAAGAGATGTGCGTCCACTAATACAGCAGCTCGTTTCTCTGCAACAGGGATTCTGAAGAAACGCTGCCAATATGCTTGCATTTCATAATTGGTAACACCTGCCCAACAATTTGCATTCTTTTCAGAGTGTTCACAAAGTAAAGGTAAAATTCAGGGATAAACTCGGAACTCCTTAACTGCTCAGGAGGGATCTGTTTTACTTTCGACCGTTTCTATAAATGCCAATGATCTAAAACTTTACTCCAGACACTGGGGCGGTGCCCAAAGTCAGCAGAACTGCACTGTATGTTTTGGACTCTAATAAGACAGTTCCAACAAAATCAAATCCATGCTCAACTGGTGTCATGTCATGGAATCTCGGCAGAAATGTGATTCTACAATCTCTTTTGTGAAACAAATTTTTGCTTGACAACATCATCCCCCAAATACTGCAACGATACGGTTGGAATTAACATGTTATGTTTAACATTCCTTTTTTTTTAAAATTCTCTTGTTTATACCATACGCCTCACTAAAGAAAAGGCCTCGTATCCTTACTCCAGACCTTTCAAAATACATGTACACCTTGTTCTCTCCGTCCATTTAGCGCCAAGGCAGCAGAAACGCATACGCAGAATAAATGAATACACCAATGACGGTCGCTACGTTTACGTCCTTCTTAAGCTAAAGAAGCACGGTTTTGTTGAGGTTCAAATAATACATTTGGTACACGGCACACAATATCTTGGCGATGGAGCTGTTCTATGAAGTATCCCCGGGCCAAAAGGATGTTTCTTTCAGTGAGGTTGACGCGATGGGAGACCGATCCTATTGGTAGAAACAGAGGAGTGATAGACGTAAGTCAGTCATCAGGTCCGCGTACATTGGGTGTGTTCGAGTTGCTTCCACGGTACAACCCTGGCCTGACATCGCCGCGTGGGCTGAGTGTCAAACGCGTGCGTGAGACGGTGGGGTGGGGGGACGGCGACTGAGCCGGAGTCAACTCGTAAAAGCTACTGCAATGAACCCACCCATGGTGTAACATATTTAGGCTAACCTACATGCTTACTTGTGTGCCGTGGAATGGAACACATTTTTCAGGAAGCTGACACAATCTGTAACAGGTCAATTAAATTATGCAAGAACGCCTTGACTTTTAGACCGTGACCATAACTGACCAATCAGCGAGCGTCTGACTACGGCCGACCAATCAAAAGCCTCCGTCTCTTTATGAGATTGATACTAGTAAGGGCCTAAGGGTTACTCTACCAGAAGTTGTCCAATACCGCGCATTGGCTGCGTCCAAATCACACGGCTTCGGCTTGAAATTACACACGACTCTATGGGAACCGGCTGCGGCCACTACCACACACTCACGTGTACTTTCTAGCCGCAGCGAAGTAATTCGGACAAGGCCTTACTTCCTGAACTAAAAAGTGTACAACTTGGCGTGGTACAAATTGCCATGTCCCAGGGGGCCTCATCTTTTCACTCTATACTATCGTTTATTCCAGCAAATTTCACCCTTGTAACCATTCATGGTCTTTAAGTTTTCGTTTCATGTACTCGGAGGCTTTGTGTTTTACGGGTGTAAATTGCTATGATGAATCGACTAAACTCTATGTCACCGCTAATCCAGAAATGTCCAGTCATTCCTTGCGGACCCAAGAATCCACACAAACCCTCGCCTGTCTAGCCCGCCTCAGAGCTACCTCCGGTGTACGCAGCCTTTTTTGGCTTTTCCATAATCAGACAGAAGGGCTCTAGTTTTTTTTTTCTTCCTCTGTGCCGTGGGGAACTCGGGGGTTTCTTTCAAGGCCGGATTTAGTGATCAGTCATCTTCGCTTTAGACAGCATCCGAATGGCCATAGTTCGACCGTAATCAGACACTCTTGACTGAGAGATGCAGGTTTAAAGTGTGTACAGACGTGCCAGCCCACTGGATTTACGTGCATTTTGGCACATAGAACGAAAACAGATGTCGTAATTCTATTTTCGTTCAATCAACCGCAGGAGGTTCTTGTCATTTCCTTAGAGAAAAGGGACATTTTTCTTTAGTCATCTTTATAACGAAAAATACCAACAGATGTATACATGAAACTTTGCAAAACGGATACAGAGATTTCTCCGGGCATGGCGCTGATGTGCTTTCCCCCCCCAAAAAAAAAAGTAATGGCGGATGTTGTTCTGATGGAATGCCGCTGAAATTAATGACGAAAGATATGCTGGAGAAACATTTCAAATTCCCTGAAACACTTGAATCATTTCATCTTCCACGACGATTTCAACGGAAACCATGACATTAGGCTTAAGTCCCAAAGGTTTTCTCATTGAACAAAATCGATTAGTCAACATGAATTTTTCGTTATTTGCGGTATGCACGTACTGAGCTTCCGAGTCCTACTAAATTTACAAGCACTCTCAATCAAACATGTTCGAGGACGGCAGCAAAATTCTACTGAGATCGAAAACGCGATCCGCCCAAGCTTAAGTGCACCCCCAATCGGCGTAAGAAAGATAGGTGGTTACAACCGGGTTCTTGCACGCATTCTGCCTGTACTTAAGGACCATACACGCCAGAATAAATTAGTAACGCGTACTCAGCGTGCTTCGCGCTGATGAAGTACGCGTATACTTGCGCGCCTCATGGCGCGCCTATGTGGTGAGTACCC